CACCTGATTTCAGTACTAGTTCTCATCCATTCTAAGCACCTGATTTCAGTACTAGGTCTCATCCATTCCGAGCACCTGATTTCAGTACTAGTTCTCATCCATTCAGAGCACCTGATTTCAGTACTAGTTCTCATCCATTCTGAGTACCTGATTTCAGTACTAGTTCTCATCCATTCTAAGCACCTGATTTCAGTACTAGTTCTCGTCCATTCTGAGCACCTGATTTCAATACTAGTTCTCATCCATTCTAAGCACCTGATTTCAGTACTAGTTCTCATCCATTCTGAGCACCTGATTTTAGTACTAGTTCTCGTCCATTCTGAGCACCTGATTTCAGTACTAGTTCTCATCCATTCTGAGCACCTGATTTCAGTACTAGTTTTCGTCCATTCTGAGCACCTGATTTCAGTACTAGTTCTCATCCATTCATAGCACCTGATTTCAGTACTAGTTTTCATCCATTCTGAGCACCTGATTTCAGTACTAGTTCACATCCATTCTGAGCAACTGATTTCAGTACTAGTTCTCATCCATTCTGAGCACCTGGTTTCAGTACTAAATCTCAATTTCAGTACTAATTCTCATCCATTCTGAGCACCTGATTTCAGTATTAGTTCTCATCCATTCAGAGCACCTGATTTCAGTACTAGTTCTCATCCATTCTGAGCACCTGATTTCAGTACTAGTTCTCATCCATTCTGAGCACCTGATTTCAGTACTAGTTCTCATCCATTCAGAGCACCTGATTTCAGTACTAGTTCTTATCTATTCTGAGCACCTGATTTCAGTACTAGTTCTCATCCATTCAGAGCACCTGATTTCAGTACTAGTTCTCATCCATTCTGAGCACCTGATTTCAGTACTAGTTCTCATCCATTCTGAGCACCTGATTTAAGTACTAGTTCTCATCCATTCTGAGCACCTGATTTCAGTACTAGTTCTCATCCATTCTAAGCACCTGATTTCAGTACTAGTTCTCGTCCATTCTGAGCACCTGATTTCAGTACTAGTTCTCATCCATTCTAATCACCTGATTTCAGTACTAGTTCTCATCCATTCTGAGCACCTGATTTCAGTACTAGTTCTCGCCCATTCTGAGCACCTGATTTCAGTACTAGTTCTCATCCATTCTGAGCACCTGATTTCAGTACTAGTTTTCATCCATTCTGAGCACCTGATTTCAGTACTAGCTCTCATTCATTCATAGCACCTGATTTCAGTACTAGTTTCAATCCATTCTGAGCACCTGATTTCAGTACTAGTTCTCGTCCATTCTGAGCACCTGATTTCAGTACTAGTTCTCATCCATTCTAAGCACCTGATTTCAGTACTAGTTCTCATCCATTCTGAGCACCTGATTTCAGTACTAGTTCTCATCCATTCTAAGCACCTGATTTCAGTACTAGTTCTCGTCCATTCTGAGCACCTGATTTCAGTACTAGTTCTCATCCATTCTGAGCACCTGATTTCAGTACTAGTTTTGTTTGAAAGGGGATAGTTTTGGTTTTTATTTATTTTTAAGAGTTGTATTTTGTACTTTTTCAGTGTGTTTGTTGCTTGTTTTATATCCAAACCCCCGTTTTGTCTTATTTCAAGCGTTCGCATATTAGATCAAGTTAGGGTTAGAGAGTTTGTATTAACCTATGATTTTTGAAAATGTGGTGACGTTGTATCGTTGGAGAAGTGACGTGTAACAATCCGTTATCACAAGATATGACTCATCGTTATATTTAAACAGTTGTAGCACGGCGGGTATAGCTCGTGGAACAGGAACGACGGCCCCTTTTTCCCTTGCTTGATTTCACCCCTTTTCTATGGTGTCTTCTTTTTAATCTATCGGTTTCTGCAGTAGTGTACTTGGGCATTTGTTTTATCTTTTTTCACTTTCGCCATGGTGTTGTCTGTCATTTGTTGAATTACCGCTTATGATTGCCCTCATGGTATCATATCTGCCTTTTTGTTATAAAATAAAACCAAACTACAATAACATGTGAGGAATTATTACGTGTTGTTGATCTTAGAAAGAATATAAAATATTAATGAGTAACGTAACCAATATATGCATTTAAATGTAATAAGGAGATGTGGTATGATTGCCTTTAGACAACTATTCACCAGAGACCAAATGTCAGCAACTTTAGGTCACCGTACAACTTCAATAATGAGCAAAAACGAACCGTATAGTAAGTTATAAAGGGCCTCGATATGACAAAATTTAAAGCAATACGTATATTTCACACAATTTCATTTTATAACTGCAATGTACTTTTATAGGTATAAAATTAAAGATAATATCAAACTTTAAATTTTATTTTCGTATTAAGATTATGAATGTCAATTTTATCTTAATGTCAAATCTTATAATTGGACACTGAAAAAGCAACTCATACCAAATAATCCATATTCATTCTTTCCGCGAATTATAAGGTAAAATATGAAAACTTTCTCCTTCGTCTTCCTTATATGAACACAAGACACATTGTATCTTCCCAATCAAAGATTTAATAAAGAAAATATAATAAGGAAGATATGATAGTAAAAAGTAAAAAGTTTTTTGGACAGGCATTCATCAACTCCAAAATTTATACACTGTTATAGTTGAATTATAGAAAATCAATATACCTCCGCTTTTTAAAGATTCAACCTCCGTGTTCGTTGTTTAGCAAACAAACAAAAAACAATCAATCAATCTTTAAATCTTAGCAAATTCGAATAATAAAACACACACATACACACACATACACACACACAAACTTTTAAACTTTGTAATAAGATTTCTTATTTGTAGAGAATAAAAATATTGTCTTTTCCAAAAATGTGTAATCCTTGATTTATTTTTCTTACAACAAAACTATCTTTATTTATAGTCAGATTTTTTTAACAACAACAAAACAAAAATGTCGTTAGTACTTTCTACGTTTATAGTGTCAAATACGTAATACTTGAATTAATATCTCGACATACCAATTAATATATAGTGTTTAAACCATTTCAAAAGTACACCACTCCAAACACGATCATTTATTTTCTTGAAATAAACATAATACAAAACAAAAATGATGAAATGAAATTTGGAAGAAATATAAATGTCAAAAGCTTTCTAGAGTAAACTTGTCAGTGTTACTTCTCGCCAGAACTGTTTTATATATGTCAGCCAACAAATCATTTAAGCTTTAAATGTCAACCTTTAAAACAGTCAACATTATAAAATATTTATTTCAAGCTTAGAATTGAGTTAATATATTTATATTAATGTTTTTGTTGAGATTATTTCTATAGATTTTTAAAGGTTACAAACAATGCAGATATAATTTATCCGTATTTCAATACAATTAAATTTTAGATGTTACACGTCGTCTGATAGGCTGAAAGTTTTTTGTCTGTCAGCTCATAGACATAATTTTGTCATGTGACCGTGACGTCATCAACGTTTTTTTCATGATTTATTCCTTAAGGATGGAATCTAGGATTGAATTATAAGGAAAGACTGTAATGTTTTTTCTGTCTATTCGAAATAAACTAAAAAATGGTGCACACTTTTAAAGCCCTAACCCTAACCGAAACCTAGATAACACGCTACGCGGGTTATTCAGTGTGCACCACATTTTTGAACTTTAAAATTCTCCATAGACAGTCATTCCTTAAATAAATTGCGTTTATGCTTCTTCAAAATAACATGAACCCTAAATTTTGAATTTGTATAGAACTTTAAGCAAAATCTAAAATGACATCCATTTAATTATAATGTAATCTTGTGATCAGAAAAAATGCAAACAAAACCTTTTTAAGTTTTTAATTTTCATCGATATGATCATATTTCTTTTTTGTTAGAAATGTTTACATAAATTCGCATCTCTCATAGATATGTTCTCGTCCTGACATGCAGGTCATAATTGTCACTGGATATTAAATAACCATCAATTCATCTTTTTTGAAGAGGCAAATCTAAAATCACTCTAATATACAAACAAGGGTTGTTGATAATTGTGGATCCCTTCTGTCATAACTTCGGTGATAAACAACAACATTGCAATTAAATGTTACATCTAGCATGACACTTCAATATGTTAGGGACAACCCGCAAAAAGGAGAATAGTTCCTCAAATGAATAACTATTTCTTAAATGAGGAATATTTTCTAGTGTTAAAAAACTTTTTGTTATCACAATTGAATGTCCCTTTGGTATCCTTAGACTCTCTTTTTATATTTGAAATGGCACATTTTAATGTAATATGCATCAAATTTTCCAGTCATGAACTGATGTATTGAGAAGTTACAAACCTATGAAATTTACTAGATATTGACAATGTTAAAGGCTACTAGCTTTGTAAATCCCTAAATTGAATTATAATGGGGTTCTTTAAGGAAATTGTTCTATTACATCGTTTCAAATTATGGCTCAATTGGAGAGACGTTTACTCCATTGGGAAATATAGTACACAATTTTACAGATTGTCCCAAACGTGTTTTGCAGAACTGGACAAAATCCAATGGTTGCTGATATTTGTGGTTCCCCATGTCATAACTTCGGTGATGAACAACAACATTGCAATCAAATGTTACATTTAGCATGACACTTTAACATGTCGGGGACAACCCAAAAAAATGGAAAATAGTTCCTCAAATCAGTATTCCATCTCTAAAACGAGGGATATTTTTTAGTGTTTAAAAACGTATTTTTTTGTCCACATTTTATATTTGAAATGGCACATTTTAATGTAAAATGCATCAATTTTTACAGCCATGAACTGATTTGCTGAGAAGTTACAAGTCTATGAAATCTACTAAATACTGACAATGTTTTGTAAAACCCAAAAACAAATAATAATGGGGTTCTTTACGAAAATTGTTCCATTACATCGTATCAAATTATGGCTCAATTGGAGAGATTTTTACTCCATTGGGAAATATTTCCGAATTTTGCGGATTGTCTCATGATAAACTTGTTTTAAAGAACTGAGAAAAAGTTAATGATTTTTGGGATCATGTTGATGCCTTACCTTCATCTGAGCCTGATTCATCTTTGTTATTGTTGTCAACAATGGACGGTGTTCGGTCTTTGGTAATATCTTTGTGTGATACTAAGAAAAGTACAACTTGACTTTTTTCATTCTTGATTGGCACAATGTCAAGTAAGCACCAAAAACCATTTTCTGGAATGAAACATAATGCATATAAAATAAGATGTGGGATGATAGCCAATGAGTCAACTATTCACCATGGTCAAAATATGTGGAGGTAAGCAACTATTATTATAAGTCACCATACGGCCTTCAACAATGAGCAAGCCCATACAGAAAAGCAGGCCATAAAAAGACTCGACATGACAAAATGTGAAACTATGTGAAACTATTCAAACGAAAAAAATGAATGATTTATGACAAAGATATAAACGAAAAACAAATATAACGGACAATAAACTATACGTGTATACATTTTCATTATGGCAGTTTATACTTTACTATGCTAATGAGTCAAAATTGATAAATGATTAAGTGCCAGTCTTTGTAAGAATCAGGCAATTTTGAAAAAAATCAAAACATGGCCGAAAAAAACCCACCGACCTAACCATCCTATTTTGAAGTTACCCTCATCCTGAGTTAGAAATGGTAGGTCTTTCGTTTCTGCGTGTCTGGTAATTCGAGAAATCTCTAGATAAATTTTGGTTAGATTGATAGCAAATTACGGAGTTAGCTCCCCTTAATTTTTCATTTCTAGTGCATTTCAACCAAATTATATCTTGAATTACCAGAACAGGACAAGGAAAGGAATGTTATATTCATGATCCATTATACATTTTGAACATAAATTAATGTAAACTTGAGTGGGTTTTTGTTTGTCATGTTTTCACCACAGCCTGATTCTTAGGCAGATTGGCACTTAAAAGAAACATATATATCATGAAAATTGTCAATTTGTTTCCATTAGAACATGTGTCCTTCAACAGAATAACGTGAAAGTCAATTGTGACACAATGTAAGAGCAACAACTCATATGTGGCACGTGTAGCTCAGATAAAAAAAAAATGAAATTAGTTTATTCACATCAGTTGAATCTGTATAAAAGAAAAACACCACTGGATGAGTTACCGTATTTATATCGGTGCTGGCATGCCTTGATGTATCACTTCGGTGTTGACATGTCAACACGGTTGACATTTGGATTAAATACGTGAAAAGAACTTTTGGTTCAAACTAAGTTTGTAATCATTTGTCACGTGCAAGAATTCGAGTTACTACTTTTTCGCTGTATGCCATTCAAAAAAGGATTAAATCAATTGTAACGCTGCATATATATTATAATCTGCTGTCTGAATGATCTGTATAGTAATTCTATCCAGGTTTTGTTCCCTAATTTTGTTACCCCTAATGGTACCCAGTGTTATAGTAATTGAACCAAGCTTATCCTACTGAGGACAAAAAACCCATCTCGTAGCTAGAGGTGTCGGCGTTTCAGCGGAATGTTACAAAAACACAGCATGTACTTTGGAAAGGACGTAAAAGGTTGGACCCGCGTTATTCACTCGCTATAGCAAAGAAAATACCACACAATCACCAAACGTTAAGAGTGAACTCTTATGGTGCTTAGGCTAAACTGTCCGATCCCACCCAACTTTTGAAACGGATACAAAATTGCTCGATCTCTCTGTTCTAATTAAGTTATTTACTATAAATTCTGTTTCATCCGTTTCATAGATATAAGAAGACGTGGTATGAGTGCCAATAAGACAACTCTCCATCCACATCACAATTTGTAAAAGTAAACCATTATAGGTCAAAGTATGGCATCCAACACGGAGCCTTGGCTCACACCGAACAGAAAGCTATAAAGGGTTCCAAAAATAACTAGTATAAAACCATTCAAACAGGAAAACCAACGGTCTAATCTATATAAAAAACGAGCAATACTTATAAACCACATCAACAAACGACAACCACTAAACATCAGGTTCCTGACTTAGGACAGGTGCAAACAAATCATGTTCATATGTTGATATTGTCCTTTTTGCGTTTTGGGGTTGTAAAACACCAACAATGTATCCCTTCATGTGAAACACCAACAATGTATCCTTTCGTGTAAAACACCAACAATGTATCCCTTCATGTAAAACACAATGTATCCCTTCATGTAAAACACCAACAATGTATCCCTTCATGTAAAACACCAACAATGTATCCCTTCATGTAAAACACCAACAATGTATCCCTTCATGTAAAACACCAACAATGTATCCCTTTATGTAAAACACCAACAATGTATCCCTTCATGTAAAACACCAACAATGTATCCCTTCATGTAAAACACCAACAATGTATCCCTTTATGTAAAACACCAACAATGTATCCCTTCATGTAAAACACAATGTATCCCTTCATGTAAAACACCAACAATGTATCCCTTTATGTAAAAAAAACAATGTAACCCTTCATGTAAAACACCAACAATGTTTCCCTTCATGTAAAACACAAACAATGTATGTTTTTATGTAAAACACCAACAATGTATCCCTTCATGTAAAACACTAACAATGTATCCTTTCATTTAAAACACCAACAATGTATCCCTTCATGTAAAACACCAACAATGTATCCCTTCATGTAAAACACCAACAATGTATCCCTTCATGTAAAACATCAACAATGTATCCCTTCATGTAAAACACCAACAATGTATCCCTTTTTGTAAAAAAAAACAATGTATCCCTTCATGTAAAACACAATGTATCCCTTCATGTAAAACACCAACAATGTATCCCTTTTTGAAAAAAAAAAACAATGTAACCCTTCATGTAAAACACCAACAATGTTTCCCTTCATGTAAAACACAAACAATGTATGTTTTTATGTAAAACACCAACAATGTATCCTTTCATTTAAAACACCAACAATGTATCCCTTCATGTAAAACACCAACAATGTATCCCTTCATGTAAAACACCAACAATGTATCCCTTCATGTTAAACACCAACAATGTATCCCTTTGTGTAAAACACCAACAATGTATCCCTTTGTGTAAAACACCAACAATGTATCCTTTCATGTAAAACACCAACAATGTATCCCTTTATGTTAGACACCAATAATGTATCCCTTTGTGTAAAACACCAACAATGTATCCCTTCATGTAAAACACCAACAATGTATCCCTTCATGTAAAACATCAACAATGTATCCCTTCATGTAAAACACCAACAATGTATCCCTTTATGTAAAAAAAAACAATGTATCCCTTCATGTAAAACACAATGTATCCCTTCATGTAAAACACCAACAATGTATCCCTTTATGTAAAAAAAACAATGTAACCCTTCATGTAAAACACCAACAATGTTTCCCTTCATGTAAAACACAAACAATGTATGTTTTTATGTAAAACACCAACAATGTATCCCTTCATGTAAAACACTAACAATGTTTCCCTTCATGTAAAACACAAACAATGTATGTTTTTATGTAAAACACCAACAATGTATCCCTTCATGTAAAACACTAACAATGTATCCTTTCATTTAAAACACCAACAATGTATCCCTTCATGTAAAACACCAACAATGTATCCCTTCATGTAAAACACCGACAATGTATCCCTTCATGTAAAACATCAACAATGTATCCCTTCATGTAAAACTCCAACAATGTATCCTTCATGTAAAACACCAACAATGTATCCCTTTGTGTAAAACACCAACAATGTATCCTTTCATGTAAAACACCAACAATGTATCCCTTTATGTAAAACACCAACAATGTATCCCTTCATGTAAAACACCAACAATGTATCCTTCATGTAAAACACCAACAATGTATCCCTTTATGTAAAACACCAACAATGTATCCCTTCATGTAAAACACCAACAATGTATCCCTTCATGTAAAACATCAACAATGTATCCCTTCATGTAAAACACCAACAATGTATCCTTCATGTAAAACACCAACAATGTATCCCTTTGTGTAAAACACCAACAATGTATCCCTTTGTGTAAAACACCAACAATGTATCCTTTCATGTAAAACACCAACAATGTATCCCTTTATGTAAAACACCAACAATGTATCCCTTCATGTAAAACACCAACAATGTATCCTTCATGTAAAACACCAACAATGTATCCCTTTATGTAAAACACCAACAATGTATCCCTTCATGTAAAACACCAACAATGTATCCTTCATGTAAAACACCAACAATGTATCCCTTTATGTAAAACACCAACAATGTATCCCTTCATGTAAAACACCAACAATGTATCCCTTCATGTAAAACACCAACAATGTATCCCTTTATGTAAAACACCAACAATGTATCCCTTCATGTAAAACACCAACAATGTATCCTTCATGTAAAACACCAATAATGTATCCCTTTGTGTAAAACACCAACAATGTATCCCTTTGTGTAAAACACCAACAATGTATCCTTTCATGTAAAACACCAACAATGTATCCCTTTGTGTAAAACACCAACAATGTATCCTTTCATGTAAAACACCAACAATGTATCCCTTTATGTAAAACACCAACAATGTATCCCTTTGTGTAAAACACCAACAATGTATCCCTTTGTGTAAAACACCAACAATGTATCCCTTTGTGTAAAACACCAACAATGTATCCTTTCATGTAAAACACCAACAATGTATCCCTTCATGTAAAACACCAACAATGTATCCCTTCATGTAAAACACCAACAATGTATCCCTTCGTGTAAACACCAACAATGTATCCCTTTGTGTAAAACACCAACAATGTATCCCTTCATGTAAAACACAATGTATCCCTTCATGTAAAACACCAACAATGTATCCCTTCATGTAAAACAACAAAAATGTATCCCTTCATGTAAAACACCAACAATGTATCCCTTCATGTAAAACACCAACAATGTATCCCTTTATGTAAAACAAATCATTAGTGCAAGAGGTCAAGGTCAGATCCAATGGCAAAATGAATTTAGTGTCACCAGATTTAGTTGATCAGTTATTAATGCTTGTCTCAATTTTATACTCCTTATTTGTACATGCTCCCTTGGTGATCGCTATGATTTATACGTCCATGTCTCCGTCTTAGCTATGACATGGCAAGATGTTCCCTTAAGGGTCGCTTAAATAATCTTTCATTCCATTAAAAAGAGATACATACGTATCAACCT